GCCTCTCCTTGTCCGTGCGCATGCGATCGCACCCTTCGCCCGCGTGACCATCTCGCACATATCGCGCACGCCCCGCGCCCTAGCGCTGCCCTCGCTCTCGCTCAGCGCCCCGCGCGTGCCGCCCAGTGCCCCGTCGCCCAAAGCCCATCCATAGCAGTCCCTCGAGCGCGCCAACCTCCCAACGTCCTCCCCCTGCGCGCCATTCAGCCTAGCCTCCAAGCGCCATGCACGCTGCTCCTTTGCACCAAACTCCCATTGACTATCCCGCATCTGCGTCGTCCCGTGCTCGGGCTTGGTAGGGTCGATGACCACTTCCGTATTAGTGCGCTGAGGCGCAGGGCGCTGGCGCGGGGGCGCTGGGCGCTGGCTGGCAGCAGTGCACAGGGCCGGACAGACAAGCGGGGTTTCAAATAGGACCGACCGATTTCAAAATTTACTCGACCGATTTACTTGAAATTTTAACACATTAAAAGAGACCCAGTAAGGCACATAATTACAAAGTTTCAGATTCAACTCTTCAGTTTAACACAATCAACCAATTTTTACGAAAAGACGATGAAAATCTGAATTTTCAAGTTCACCGGGCAATCCTTTGAATTTTTCAACAAAATTTGGGCACAACATACATATCATCAAGTTATTAACACTCACCAAAAATCACAGCAAAAACCCCAACATACGATTTTTAATGAATTTTGAAATTATCTGCCCAGATCTTAAATTCAATACTTGTCATAGCTACAGACATCATTTTGGCAGGAAATTTTTACAGCACTTAAAATACTAACAGAGGACTCTACAGTTCAAAAATTGCAGCAATCGGACGAGCACATAATTAATAATGATTTTTATAAGAATCAGCAGCAATACCCGATTCAACAACACATCAATGACCACATAATCATCTAAAACGTCCAAGGCCTGAACCATGAGGCCAAGGACTTCAAATGTTCTGACAATCTACGGCCTTAATCACGATTTAAGCGAAAATCACATTCGAATACAATTAACGAATAAATCACGGGATTAAATAGCCATTTATCAAACCCTAACATGAAATTTCCCAACAAGGCTCATCACATAGCACATATATACTGAAAATAATAAAGGATTATCAGCCTTGTACCGATCTCGGGGAAATTGCATGGAAGAAGGTTCAAACGGGGCTGAAGGTAGTCGCGGGCACGCGGGGGAAGGGCCTACGGGCGTCGGCTGGGCGCTGGCGGGCTTCGCGGGCGCTGC